GTTCCGGAAAAAGCGGGAGTCGACGAGACGATTAAAGTGTCAATTATTTTTTTATTAATCGATTATTAACCAGATAGATTTATATAGATTCACCACTAGAGGCTGGTACTCAGGCGTTACTCAGAAACAATAAGGAGTATGGCTCCTTATCCCCCGCCCCCACAGTGTGACTCACCGTTGTGAACGGCCCACATGATCCGGAAAGCCGGTCCACCGATTTCATCAAAGGGCTTCCTGCGAGTGATGACTTCCCAGAGAATGATCCCCCAGCTGAAAACATCACACTTCTCGCTATAATTGCTGCCTGCAAACACAGAGGGGACCCACAGAACATTTTCAAACAGAGCAGACGCTCACACTCATAGTGATGACTGATGAAACTAATTCTCTGTGGCCAGTTTGGAGATGAGAGAGAAAGATGTGCCCAAGAAAAGCAGAGCAGCAGAAGAGCAGTTTTCCAGCTCCTCTGCGCTTTCAGGAGGGCGAAGGATGAAGACATGCAAACGTTTTCACTGATGAACAGCTCCTGTGTTGCTTAATTACAAGGCCTCTGTTGAAGAATAAAAGAGCGCTTCACAAACCTATTTTAAACCTGCTGTGTCGGTGCTTTTGATTGCTCTTCACGCCCATGCAAATTAGTTGCGAGTTCACGCAGAGGCCAGGAGTAAGTTGTTTAATTGCATTCGAGACGCGGATCTCGCCTCCAAAAACAAGATAATGACTAGATGTTATTTCATCTTTTCTCCTGACCCTCTCGCCAGGAACATGTCTCATCATTTAGCGATACATTAGGCTCCTGGCTGAATGAGAACACAAATTCCACACTGTAGTGTCCCTGGGGAAATAAAGGCAAAAGTATCAAACCATCCATCTTCTCGCCTTGCTTTAGCTACTACCATCAATAAAGCAGAAGATCACGACGGCTGAGGAGGAAGCAGCGATTAATGCATCCATGCTCGCAGCGCCAACATGTAATTTAAGTGAAAAGTGCCGGAGCGAAGTTAGGTGTAAGAAAGAAAACAAATAAATGCCTGGAACAGGTTGGAGGGGATTCAGAGAGAAATAAATACATTAAAAAAAAGCAAACAAATGTGGAAGCATTCTGTTGAAATAAATGGAGGAAAGCAGCAGGAACGCCACTTCTACTTGCCTTCAAATACCTCGGGGGCCATCCAGGCTGCGCTTCCTTTGTTGTTGGTCATGTGGGTCTGAATATCACAAGCTGTTCCAAAGTCGCATATCTTCAGCACCGTCCCACCTGCCACCAGGAGCAGACTGAACACAGGATACAGGTAATAAGGAGAGAAATGGTGAAATGTTTCAAAACAGCCTCTTATAGACATAATCCTTTCTCATTAGCTTCTTTCTTCCTTCATAAAAACACTCATTAGGCTAATATTAGATCCTAAACGGGGCCTTTTTTAATATCAGGTAGAGTTAATATTAGAGGAAAGCAGATGATTTATTCGCATCCCTCTCTGCTCTGAAAGATTTCTGACAGTTTGCGGTTATCAAACAGACTAAAACACTATTATAAAACAGCACTGTGCATGTTTAGCCACTAGGGGCGCCATACCTGGAGCTCCCCTGAGGCTACAAGTAGCTCTACAGCACTGTTGCTGGTAAAGAAGGAGAACTTTAACCATTAAAGAAGAGAATCAGGTATGGGCCGTGTCACATCTTGACGATTTAGACCAGCGTATGTCTGACGTACCAGAAAACGGGCCAAAACGCTGGAATACGTGGTGTTAGGATAATTATCACTGATGATGTGTGAGTTCATTACACCTTAATATTAGCTGTCTGTTACATGTTAGACCTGATGTTTTCCCTAGTAGTTTATCTAATTATGACAGTTCTTCTGTCCGGATATACAGTTATAATCTTCAATCTGTACTTGGCAAAGATTTGGGAATAGAATGAGAGCGGCGTACTTCAGCTAAGAACGAAGTGTAATATTTTGATAAGTCTCCTGATTTACAAACATGTATGATGCAATGTTGACAGACTGGAGATGAATAAAATGCTTCTTTAATTGTTAATCGGGGGCCAATCGGGGTAAGCAGCTGCCTTCTGTAACTCTAAGCAACTTCTCTGATCCAAGTAAGATTATAATTTCTATCAGAATCTGTTATCATGTCTCCTGGTTATTTAATCCATAAACATTACGAAGTGTTATCTACAGAGTTTGTCCTAAGTGATCTCTTTTCAGGAAAAAGAACCGCAGAGACAGAAAGCTTCAAGGTGCAAACACAGAGCTTTCCTTAAACAGTTGGATAAGTTATGGGTATATTTTGTATAAGTCACAAGCACGATGAAACACGCTGAAACACATCGACATACGGTGAAAAAAATTGAGGAAAATTTCCCATCGTATTCTAGCGTTAGCCGTTCACGCCCACCACCAATAAACTTCCTAGCAGACATAACGGTCAGTCTGCTGCCAATAAAAACCTTCTTTCTTTTATTATTTTTATTTATTCTTCTTATTTTTGGCAGGTGGTAAACAGCAGCTAGGTTAACACCCTGATCAAAGACATCTTTTTATGCGGGCGGGGCCCTCAGGGCGCATCGCTGCCCCCTGTGATGGTGAAAAAAGAGAGAGTGTGTAGTGAGGAGAAGGAGCATACTTAGGTGGTTTGAGGTCCCTGTGAATGAGAGCCTTTGGTTTCATGCCATGGAGATAGGCCACGCCCTGGGCACACTGAAAACACCAGCTCATGGCATGGGAAGCAGTGTAATAGGGGAGGGGTTCGGCACCATGCAGCACTGTGAACAAGAGAACACAGTCACAAACCAACACAATGGACAACAAAACCACAACCAGGCAGCAAATTGGGTTGGGTAGGTGTTCAGTGCAGTGGCAAACATGTGGAACCAACAAAGGACCGAACACACGAGGCCGAGTGTCTCCTCGCTGTGACTGCTTCAGATGGGAGAAAAGACCAAACCGAGAACCTCGGTGCTGAAGAACCAAAAACATCAACGTTCTGCCTCCATAACAGAGGATCAGTGACTTCAGAGA